ATTTATTTATTTATGGCTGTGCTGAGTCTTTGTTGTTGCACAGGCTTTTGTCTCGTGGTGGTGAGTGGGGGCTACCCTCTGGTGTGGTGCACGGATTTCTCAGTGCTGTGGCTTATCTTGTTGTGGAGCATGGGCTCTAGGGCATGCGGGCTTCCATAGTAGAGGTGTGTGGGCTCAGCGGTTGTGATGTACAGGCTCTAGAGCACTGGCTCGTTTGTCATGGTACACAGGCTTGGTTGATCTACAGTGTGTGAAATCTTCCTGGAGCAGGGATCAAACCCATGTCTCCTACATTAGCAGGCAGATTATTTTACTGCTGAGCCATTAGGGGATCCCTGCATTGTTTAGTTTGTTATTTATTGCCTTTAGCTTGCCTTTATCTCAGCATATACATTTTCTCATTTTCATTGGCTTCTCTTTATATTTGTAGTTCCTTGCTAAAGTGATCTGCATTTCTGTCAATGCCCTTTCTTAATTTGTTGGTTGTTACTTTCTTCTCATAATTTTATTTATTTTCGGCTGTGCTGAGTTCATTGCCGTGACCAGAGGCTAGTGTGAAGCTGTGGTGCGTGGGCTTCTCCTTGTGATGGCTTCTCTTGTTGCAGAGCACGAGCTCTTCCAAGGGCAAGTGGGTTTGTCAGTTACAGCATGAGGCCTCGGTAGCATGTGGCCTGTGGGCTCTGTAGTTGCTTCATGACTCCAGATCAGGGATCACACCCATGCCTCCTGCATTAGCAGGTGAATTCTTCACCACTGAGCCACCAGGGAAGCTTTATCTTCTTTTTGAACTCAGAATCTGGTAGAGCATTCTGTTTTATTGGAGATTTCTCCTGTCCTGTTTTTGGAAATAGTTCCTCTGCTTCTTGGTTTCAGTTTTATTTCTTTGCCCCTGGATTTAGGAGGACCAGTTATTTCCTATGGTCTTGAAGAGTTGTTTTTATGTAGGAGCATCCTTGTGTAGTCTGAGTGAGTCTTAATATTGTTGGTGCCAGGGCTGCATTTAGTATGGGTGCCTGCTGTTTCCTTCCTCCTTGTGTGCTGGTTGGTCTCCCCTTCATAGGGAGTGTGCCTGTTTTTGTGGTGAGCAGAGCCTGCGCTGGAAGTTGAGCACAGCCTCCTATTTGGTCTGCAGTTGTCACAGCTTTGTTGGGAGCACAGTCTGCTCCCAGTTGTAGTAGAAGCCCCCAGATCATCTTGTTTCTGAGCTGCGGTGTGAGGTAGGCAGTCCTGGAGCATTACCACTGGGAGAGGAACCAGGAGTGTTCTGTATCAGGAGCTGTCCGCTGAAGTGCGCTCCATAGTGTCTGTCGCCCGCTGTGTGTGCTTAGAGCATACACGGTTGTTGGCATGGCCCCCACCTCCTCCTCAGCCGTGGGAATGCAGGCAGTTGGCATGGATGTCCCTCAGGTGCTGTGCTCATAAAGCCGCCAGCTCAGATCTGTAGGCACAGATTCCCTGAAGTCAGGCCCCAGGACCTTTCTTAGCTGCCTGTAGTCATGCTCCTCGACCCCCTCAGAGCTATGGGACGAGCACAGACCCTGGCCCCACCTCCACGTACGTGTACCTGCAGAACCCGCAGCTGCTGACTCTGGACTTGCCCCAGCTATGGGAGCATCGGTCCTCTGCTCGGATGTCCCACAGTCACTTAGCTTACAGAGGCACTGGCTGCCTAAAGCCACTTCTGCCTAAAGCCCGAAGTCTCCTGATACGGCTCAGATTTCAGCCCTACCTCTGTGTGGGGGAACAGCAGGTACTCACGTGCTCCCAGAGCCCTGCCCGCTGTGAGCACCCTGTGGGGCCCCACCTCTCCCTTCAGGTGCTCGTCAACAATAGGGCTTCTGTCACAGACCCGTTTCATCCCACCCACAGCCCCAGTTGCCACCCAGTCCACACTCTGGCCACTTCAGGCTCTCTGCACAGCCACCCCAGTGCTCTCCCCAAATCTGTCTGCTGAAACCCAAGATTCAGCAGACACATGCATGGAGCCGGGGAGTGCAGCAAGGTGGCTGAGACCAGGTGTGCCGGTCTCTCTTCTCTACCTGCTTCAGCCAACTGCTGCACTCTTCTCTGAGCCTCTGCAGCTTCTGTTCTGTTCTGGCTGATCTAGACAGCAAAATTTGTTCCTAGGGCAAGGAACCCTTCCTCTTTCACAGCTCCCTCCCGGGAGTACAGGTCCCATCCCATCCTGCCTTGTTGCATGGTGATCTTCCTGGCAGTTTCGGTTCTCTGAGCTCTTCCGCCAGCATTCAGTAGGTATTCTGTGAGAATTGGTACACATGTAAGTGTATTTTTTATGTACTTGTGGGAGTTGGTGAGGTCTATGTCCTTCTATTCCACGATCTTGATCTCCCAACTATATATAAATTTATTTATTGTCAAACTGAAGCAGATTCCACTCATCTAGACCCATCCAGGAAAAAAAGTATATCCAATTTCTCATGACAGAGTTTTTCTTTCCCTAATAGAAATGAAAAGTAAAGCCAACAGAGAAATGAAAGAAAAAGTTATAGTTTCACTTTTAGAATCATCAAATATCTTTTTTTTTTTTTTTTTTTGCTCTTCTGAGACCTTTCAAAACACTATAAATATTTTATGTATCTCTGCCTGGATCTTTGTCTAAATTATTTACCACTGGTATTTCTTTTCTGATTGATATCTGGGGGAGATTCAGTGCCTTTGTATTTACCCTGAACACCAGTGGGTGCTGGCCACCAGAGCTGTTGCCCACGGCATGGAAATTTGGAGCAGTGACCCGGGGCTGTGTGTTTTGAGGGAATCCCTCACTGCTGATGAGAACTGAATTACTGGAGCTCCCCAGCTTCCCACGAGGACCAGCAGGTAGCACTGGAATGCTGCTGCCGGTGACTCAGTACAGCAATCAGCCAGTCAGCCACTAAATCTCTGGGAGTTGGTGATGGACAGGGAGGTCTGGCGTGCTGCAGTCCATGGAGGCAAAGAGTTGGACATGACTGAGCAACAATCTTTAAAACTATATTATGAAATAGAATGTTATGTTTATCAATTCCTTCTTATTTATTTAAACTTGGGAGGAATAGCATGTGTAATGAATTCATCTGATAGTAGTTATCTGAATTGGAGAAAAGGTGTCCATAGCTGAAAGGAAAAGAATGCTAAACTCTAAAATTACAAAAATAGGCATGACTCAGAAGAAGGTCTAGCACATGGAAAAGAAATGTGATTAACTCTCCCAAGTATTTTTAGAATTATGTAAATGTCTTACTCCACTTGAGAATGATATTTTCTTTGAGTGCAAGCTCTTTATTTGCCCACTTTAATTGTCCATCTAGACAGATATTTGGTAGCTGCAACATAAAGGTCAAATAAACTCCCTAACACGTTTTTCAGCACTTCCTGCAGGTTAAATGAAAGTATCAAATAAGAAATTGCAGTATCAGTTTTGTTCTCCCTAATTATAATAGAACATTTGTACTACCATTTTGAGTGTTGCTATTTCATTGGCAATCTTGTAGCTACTGCCTGATGTCTCTGGTAGAGGGAAAAAAGGCCATGGCTAACATCATATTGGCATCTTGCCTTTGTCTAATCACAGNATGTTGGCAATTTGATCTCTGGTTCCTCTGTCTTTTCTGAATCCACCTTTAGCATCTGGAAGTTCTTGGTTCATGTACTATTGAAGCCTAGCTTAAAGGATTTTGAGCATTACCTTGCTAGCATGTGAAATGAGTGTGATTGTGCAATAGTTTGAACATTCTTTGGCATTGCCTTTCTTTGGGATTGGAATGAAAACGCCTCTTCCAGTCCTGTGGCCACTGCTGAGTTTTCCAAATTTACTGTCATATTGAGTGCAGCACTTTAACAACATCATCTTTTAGGATTCTAAATAGTTCAGCTGGAATTCTAACACCTCCATGAGCTTTGTTCCTAGTAATGCTTCCTAAGGCCCACTTGACTTCACAGTCTAGAATGTCTAGCTCTAGATAAGTGATCACACTGTCTTGATTATGTGGGTCATTAAGACCTTTTTGATACAGTTCTTCTGTGTATTATTGCCACCTCTTCTTAATATCTTCTGCTTCTGTTAGGTCCATACCATTTCTGTCCTTTATTGTTACCATCTTTGCATGAAATGTTCCCTTGGTATCTCTGGTTTTCTTGAAGAGATCTCTAGTCTTTCCCATTCTATTGTTTTCCTCTATTTCTTTGCATTGTTCACTTAGGAAGACTTTCTTATCTCTCCTTGCTGTTTTTTGGAACTCTGCATTCAGATGAATATATCTTTCCTTTTCTCCGTTGCCTTTCACTTCTTTTCTCAGCCATTTGTAAGGCCTAACTTGTAGCAGTACTTAACTAAAATTTCCTTTCATGTCTTCCCCATTGTATGTACACCTGGCAGCCGCCTCCTTGAACAAACTCTCGCTATTGACAACCATTTGTGTCTTTTTTCTTCTCATCTCTCTTCTACATGATGTAGATCAGTTTAGCCTCTTCAGCCTCATTTTCTCATTATTCTGATTCCCTCCAACAAAGGAGAGTTACGGAACTCACCCAATAAGCAAAAATCCTTCCTTTTCATTTCTCCCCATCCAGTGTCGATTCTCAGTCTTTCTAACTGCACTACAGCAAAGATGGTAGCAGAGTTGGCAAACCCAGAAATCAACCCCAGGGGCCAGGGAACAGCAAAAGGGAAAACTAAAGTCAGTCAGAAGGGTAAACAAGGCTGGAATATGTGTATAATACACATATTTTTTTTGCACATTGCAAAAAAAAAAGACCCATTTGAGATCCTGAATTCGGTACTAGTAGATAAACCGCTTGCTAAGACAGTTCAATAAGCAATTTTCAAAAGCAGGATCTAGTCCTTCCAATGAATATTCAGTCCTTATAATTCTTCCCAGCAAGCTCACAGGTGTGTTATGTCATTACTGAGTGAGATCTCTTAAGGTTTTCTTGTGTCCAGATTCCTCAGTGCCCTGATAGGAGAAGCGATGTTCTGATGGGCCTGGTTTTGCCTTCCCCAGTGGTGTGAGCAAAATGACCAGTGTAGACGCCTTCACTTACCTGAGCTGCTCGTGGCCCCACTGCACAGGCTGACTCGATATCCCTTGTTGCTGAAGAATATCTGGAAAAGGAGTACAGACTCTACGGAGAAAATCATGATCTACTCCATCAAGGAAAAGGTGGAAAAGTCAATCCGTAAGTCCCTGAAATGAGGAACCCAGAGCCCCAGTGTCAGCTCTAGTCAAAGAGTTGGGGGGCCCTGGTGCTCCTGGGAACCAGCTGGGCTTCCAAGCTAGGAGGTGATTCCATTGGGCTGAGGTCACCGACTCTGGAAATGTGGATTTGACTTTGAGTTTGCAATGTAAATCAAACACACTCACAACAATGGGCTCCACTCACATCCTGGCAACCCTGTGAGAACTCTTAACTCTTAAGGGTTCACGCAGGACTTGGCTCGTCTCCACAATTTTCAGATGTGAGTTCAGGCAGGAAAACTTCTACTTCCCAGATGATGAAGGCACTTGGTTTTTAACATCCATACTGAACCCACACACAAAGCAAATGGAAGTAAACAGCATGAAAAGCCTTTCTGGAGGATAAATTACCACCGTCATTTTTTTTTAGGTCACTGAAATCGAGGGCCAATCTAAGTATAACACTAACTGCAATATTTAGAACTGAAATTAGAGGATAAAAGAGCAAGCCCTGTAATAATTTAAGTCTATTTGGGTAGCTATGTATAGTCAAATCCAAATAAAGAAATCCGTGATAGGTGTCCATAAAAAATTTCCTAGGGAGCACCAAAAAGGAACAGTTCAAATTGATAATTATCAGCTGTACAGAAATGATATATTTTTTCTTTTGCATGTTTAAAATGACCACTCAGTTAGGAGTTCTTTCCCTTTTTTAAGTTTTTGTTCAGATTCTCTAATGACCGACCCAAGGAACTAGAATTAAGCTTATCAAATTGATTGACAGAAAATTCAATTAAAGACAGACTTTTTTAAATTTTAAAGTAATTTTGAAGATTATTACTCATTTTGATAGGTTTGTGAGGAAGATAATAACATCTCTTCCAGGAATTTCTCAATAAAATCTGAGTTTTCATTGTTGAGGAAAGACATCCCTGTGGCCTTCCTCTGAGTTTATGAGCTTAAAGATAGTGAATTCTCAAAGATTCCCCTAACCATTAATTCTGTGGGACTACGACTTGCCCTCTGTATTTTCAAAAATCATTTCAAAACCTCAATAGCAATATGTTATTTAAAAATATTGGGAAACTAATACAAACCTTTGAAGAAAAAACACATTCTTACCAAAAGAAATAATCAACTTTACCATAAAGGGAATGTGTGTTTTATGATTAAGACAAAAAGATATGCTTGTCCTTGTTAGTCTGATTTTTTTCCTTCCTGTAATCACCGGCTGTATGATGCAGGGAATATGAGAGAGCTACCAGGGGTATTATTAGTATTATTGAAATAAAAATACACATTTACAATTTACTGAATTAGTTCAGCTTCATTTTCTCTGCAAGAGGCTGATTTCAAATTAGTGAGTTTTTATAAGGTGTTCAAACAGCGAGAAATATGTTAAATGAACCTAAGATATAGTTTGGTTCCAGGGGGTTCAATGTCTGAATGATTTCTATGGATCTTGGTTAAATTTTATGCTGTAATGTCTCATGCATTTTAAAATATATTGGATGTGTCTTGTCTTTTAGGGGATCTTGAAGGAAAAGTGAAGTGGCTTGACAATTTTCAGAAGTTCAGACATCTACAGGAGATTGTAGTGTGGCCTCCACTTTGGGATCGAGATAAAAGGTTTTTCATTCCAGAGGTACAAAAGGGATCAGTTAGAACATACGTCCCTTTCCAGACGTTTGGCATTTGGGTGGAAATACACTAATCTTATTACAAAGTCCCCAGCTGCCCACCAGAATTATAAATCTTGCTGATGTAAAGCCTTCATCCACATGGCATTGTGTGTGGTGGGGAGGCTGGCATCATCACGCCATTCCTGGGCTGATCCTTCTAAGAGGTTTTCCCATTCTTCCCCAGTCCCATGGCCACTTACTGGCATTTCCAAATGTCTCAGCTCCCAGCTCCTGGAACATGCTGTCTTCTAATCACTAACTTCTCTTTGATTTTTCTCCCTTGTTTTTCCAGTGCCTGAAACACATTTTTAAAGAACACATGGCAGAAAACATCCTGTCACCAACCAATAGACACCTTCTCTATGAAGGAAAGTTAACTCTTGCAGGTAAATAACTGCTTCCTTTACAAACCCAACATCTTTGCTCCCTTGTAACTTGTCCAGCTGCAGCTAACAGAAGGGTGGCAGGAACTGCATTGCTTGTGGCAGAGGTGACAGCAGATGTGAATCAGCATCCTGCGGAGTCACACAGACTCCAGCTTGATCAGACCACAGGGCGCCTCTAAAACGGGGTGACTGTATGTATCTTACAAGACTGAAGTCCAGGTGAAGAGCTGAGCTCAAGCTCTGGTGGTGGTGGTGGCTTGGTCGCTAAGTCGTGTCCAACTCCTGTGACCCCGTGGACTGTAGCCTACCAGGCTCCTCTGTCAATGGGATTTTCCAAGCAAGAATACTGGAGTGAGTTGCCATTTCCCTCTCCAAGCTCAAGATCTGGAATCTAGTAAGCACTCGACATCAGCCGTTCCCACCCTCATTGAGCTGGGCAGTCAGACCGTCAGTGCTGACGGAGAGTCTGTTGTGTAGCACACTTTGTGCTGCACGGGATTGGAGGATAGAGAATGACTCTCCTGGATAAGCCTTTCCCTCGAGCTGAGAAGGTCTGCCACAGTAAGCAGACCTGCAGTCTGAGTCCGGAGGAGAATCCGATGCTGGAGTGCCCCGGAAAGGCTCCTTGTGGTCCCTGGGATTGGAGGGGGGACTCTGGCGAATAGAAGGATGTTAGGTCAGTGGGAGGACAGAAGGAGGACATCCCAAATGAAAAGCACAGGACGAGAAAAGGCTTGGAGGCAGAGGCCGCCTGGAAGAAGAGGCTCCGAGCTTGTAAGAGGGTGTGCCCCAAGCTGCCTGCCAGGCTCCCTTCCCATCTCCACGTTTGCTGCCTCTGTAACCAGGAGCCTTGTTCAGCAGCCTCCCCATGCTGCAGTTTCCCCTCTTGTGAGGATTTAAGTGAGCTATTGGATGTAGGTAGCTCTTGGAAGAATAGTTGGTAGAGAGTCAGCGCTCAGTAAATGTCATGATCAGAAAGGCTGCCCAACTGAAGTAAGATTTGCTTTCATTCATTGATTCATTGCTTCACAAAATCTCGATTGAGCACCTACAGTGTGTGAAGCCCTGTAGGATGTGAGATTGTGTGTTTATAGTCGTCTGAGATCTTGTCGGTAGGGGGTGCTGGGCAGTAAGTGCTTATTCAGTACACATCTGTTGAGAATCTGCTGTTTTCAAGATAGTGTTCGATGTCAGCTGGGACATAAGCCCTGCCCACTCAGGAAGATCGATGCACCTGATGTTTCACAGCAAAGGAGTTTTGCGTGCATTTTCTCCTGTCAGTGAGGTCATGCAGAGAAGTTCCATTTAATCCCATGCCACAGGAGAAATACAGGGAAGTTACATAACACATTCAAGGTCATTTGCCAAGTTAATGGCAGCATTCAGACCCAAGCCAACAGGCTGCTTCAGCCTAGCTGGCTTCCAGAATTTTCGCGACTGCCTTGGAAGCCAGAGGGATCCAGCCAGGAAACTGCAGATAGCAGGAAGCCACTGGGTCCTCACACAGGGACATAATAGGGTTAAAAGTTGTTGAAGAACGAGTTCTGAAAAGCAGTGTGTAAAGTGGCTGGAGGAGACAAAGCAGAGACCAACCTGAAGGCTCCAGTGAAGCAGGGTGAGGTGGGAAGAGTCTGGGTCTTTGTTTCTCAACCATTCTCCACCTGTAGACTCCCGCTGCCCCCACTTGCCTTTGAAAAGATAGCAGTTTTACATTTTCTTTAATGTTATTTACAGTTTCAGAAATAACTATATCATTGTGACAAAGCCAAATCCAACCAAAACCAAAAGTAAGGAAGCGAAACACAGTTCTGTGTACAGTCATATGACTTTCCCTCCAAAATTTGGCCTCTGCCTGGAATTATCAGAGATTTTATTTCACCTCTTCCCTGTGTCCACCAACTTCCCCAACACAGTGAGTTGCAGTAGCCTATCCTAAAATGTTAGAAATGGGTGTGAATCAAAAAGGAAGACCTGTGTAAATATTAGTCACACCAGGCTCCTGTCTAACAGTATATGCTGTTAGTCAGGTTTCATCAGAGTGGGAGGCGTCGCCATACAGGAGTGTCATATCAAGTTGAAAGTCACTGGGACTTTGACTCAGAGTTGGTATGGACATGTGGGGGTAATAAAGAAGAAATAGGATATTGTTTTGAATGGGGAAAGCACTGGACCAAGAATTAGGGGCTTTAGCACCAATGGTGGGCTTTAGGGAAATTGTTTAAATTTCCTTAATCTCTTCTGTAAATGTTGGTGATGATGGTGGTGATAACAATGATAATGATGATACCTACTACTATGTTTCAGAATCTGTTCTAGCCTTAAAAACTGGGGTGTTAAGGTTAAATAAGTGCATTTTCTCATTCCCAGAAGGTACACGTTTTTATAACTTTTGAAGTTTAACCAGTTTCCCATCGGAATTCATGTCAGCACATGACTTCCACAGATGCACTGCCCCCACAGACTGGTGTTTCTAAATAGGAGTGAGTGAAGTTCAGGCCGGTGTGATGGCCGAGCAGCCACTGTCCCGGCCGCTGCAGAGCTGGCGTGAGCCGGTGGGGCTGCTCCGTCCCCAGCGGTGCGGTGAGGTGAAGGGAAAGTCGCTCAGTCGTGTCCGATTCTTTGCAGCCCCGTGAACCGTACAGGCCATGGAATTCTCCAGACCAGAACACTGGGGTGGGTAGCCTCTCCCTTCTCCCGGGTATCTTCCCAACCCAGGGATCGAACCCAGGTCTCTCCCATCGCAGGCAGATTCTTTACCAGCTCAGCCACCAGGGAAGCCCCGCAGTGTGATGGGAACCCCACAGTTCAGGCTCTGTGAGAGAAAGACCGAACCGAGTTAGAACCTCACCAGTTAGTAAGTCTCAGAACTGGTCGTGTGACCCGTAGCTTCAGACTCCTGGGATAGTGAATATGAATACTCTGGCTTTAGGCCTACAGTGTCCCTCTTTTAGTCGTCATCTTTCATAATCCCATCTTTACTTTAGCACTGTCAGTTCTTGAATTTATCTCAAATCTTGTCTGTGTTTATTATGTGTCTGCTCTTATTACAGTTAAAGCTCTTAGGGGCAAGATTCTGCCTTAATCATTGATGCACAGGTGGCTGCTTGGAAGTATACGTGCCGGCTTTCCTCGTAGCTGAATGTGACCAAGTGACTGAATCCTGCCCACATTCTAACTCCTATCCCATTGGTCAGAATTCAGCCACTTCGTCACATTCAGTTACAAGGAAAGCTGGCACATGTATTTGTTCACAGTTAACATCTACCCACTAAAACTTGGAAATTTCATTACTACAAAATAAGAATTGTTTCTGAGAGACCACCGGCAGTCTGTGCCACAGCCCAGTTTGCCAAAAGGAGTTTCTAGTAGTGATGGAAAACACTTAAAAAATATTCAAGGATAATTCAAGATTGAATAAAATATCTAATTTCTCTTCAGGGCAGATATAGGAAGTATCTTTCCTCTAAACTTAAACAAGGGGAGTGTTAGATATTGTATCTATTAATTTAACCTTAGACATTGTATTTCCAGGATATACAAGAAAGAACTTCTAGAATAATATAAACAAACAGAATAATAAAAAATATTTACTTGATTTTTCTTATATTTCCTTTTAAGTGCCTGCCACATCCCCCTCTGAAAGGACTGTCCTTTCCTCTGAAATCATTTAAATTTAACCATTTCTAATATCTAAAGGATAGTTAAATCAAGAAGGGGAGCCATCTCTCCAATATTTTTCCCTTCTACTGCTGTCTCCTTAGGGAAAAGCAGAAAAGCCTATTTGCCTTCAGTTATCATCAAAAGTGATATTAAGAAAAGGTAAATATAAAGCTACATGAAGACTTTAAACATGTATAGACACATTGCAAAACTCGAAGCAAATTGTTTTAATGACTCTTAATCAGCAAGGGCTGCCATAACAAAATGCTGCCAGTTTGGGTGCCTTAAACAGGAGACGTTTATTTCTCACAGTGCTGGAGGGTGGAAGTCTAAGATCAAGTTGCCTGCTGATGTGGTTCCTGGTGAGAGCTCTCTTTCCAGCTTTCTCAGTGTCCATGCGTGGCAGAGAGAGCGTGCACGTGCCTTGGCGTGTCCTCTTGAGTGATATTCACCAGGGTCCTCCCTTAAGCCTTCTTCTAACCTTAATTACTTCCTTATTCCGAGTACACAATGGGGGTTGGGGCTTCCACAAAGAATTGGGGGGCTATGCAGTTCAGTCCACAGCAGTGACAAAGTGCCTTTTCTCTAGTAATGTATACCTTTGCCAGTGACACCCGAATGAGTCAGGAGGCAAAAATGCTGGTGTACTGTTGGTCAATAGATGTGTCCTGGCTTAGCTGAAACTGCTACAAATATCACCCAAGTTATCTTAGATCCACATGAAATGCATCACTAATATCTTTAAAGTTGGAAGTGTGAGCTCACATCAGGTCCCTGCTTTAGGTAGAAATCAGCTCAGTTGTAATGCAGTTTTCTGACCCACATGATTGGAGCCCCCTGAGTCTCCTACACCCAGATCCCTGTTCTGTGTTGTTTTCTAAAGGGTTTCTTTGATTTAAAAAGAAAAAAAAAAACTTTTGCTTGCTATTTCCAGACCCAATTTCATCTTCTTTCTTTCCTCAGAAAGCACAAGATTCCTAGATGTTTATCTGTTTCTCTTTGATGATTTCCTCTTAGTTACGAAAACTAAGCGCAACAAAAAGGTAAAAATCTGTTGTTTCTAAATAAGTCTGTTGAATGAGTTTAGAGATATTTTGAATAAGTCATTAAAAAGAGAAAAAATTCATGTACTTCAAATCGGACTTTACCCTCCATAAAATGGAGGCATTTGAAAGTATTGACTTTTTCTTTTATAGAGTTGTGAACTGAAAAACGTCAGTAACAAAAGCAAGTCCCATTTCGTAAGGATGCCAAAGGGTGTGTGTATTTTTAGAATGACTCAAGTCCGTTGAGGGGAGTCCCAGAAGCCACAGGACTTTATGCCTGGCCAGCCTCAACAAATGAAATTAAGATCCTTTTGTCCATATCAGCCTTTTCCTCATCCACATTGTCCACCACAGTGAAAGTTGTCAGAGCAGGGGGCCTCTTGAAACCATCTGCCAAATGCATTCTCATTTGAAAGTGCACCTCCTTCCTGAGAAGTGATGATGTAGGGGGCTGCGGGTGGGAAGGGGCCCTGGTCTCTCAGAGTCTACCTGTAGTTAAGAACTGCAGATGCCAAACAGATGTACAGTTGGCATCACAGGGAAAAAATGAGTCACCAAGGGCTAGAGCCACAAAATCTCTTCTAAGACTAGTATTAATTGTTACCACTGTTGTCGTTACTCCCCGTTAAGCCATGGGTCTCATGGTCTACCACTTTCCCATTTCACAGTCTGTTCCCTGACTGAGGCAAGTGCTTTCAGGAAGGGGCCTTTTCTGCAGCCCTTGGAGGTGGGAAGAGCTGCAGTTTCTCCTTGGCCATCAGAGATACTTAATGTTCTAACCCACTCGCTCTTTCACTCAGTGGCTAGCCTTACCCCAATGTTGAGACCATGAGACTGGATCTCTCGGATATTTTAATACTCTCAGCTTCCAGATGGCATGTTGGTCTCTGTTGTTCGTTGTTTTAGTCGATAAGTCGTGTCCAACTCTTTTGCGACTCCATGGACTGTAGCCCACCAGGCTCCTCTGTCCCTGGGATTTTCCAGGCAAGAATGCTGGAGTTGGGTTGCCATTTCCTTCTCCAGGGGATCTTCCTGACCCAGGGATCAAACTCATGTCTCCTGCATTAGCAGGCAGATTCTTTACCACTGAGCCACCAGGAAAGTGGCATGTTGGTTAGTGAAGCTAAATAATTTAAGAGCCTATACTCAATTTTAAAAAATGGGCTTCCCACTTGGCGCTAGTGGTAAAGAACCCTCCTGCCAATGTAGGAGACAAAAGAGACGCAGGTTCGATCCCTGGGTCAGGAAGATCCCCTGGAGGAGGGATTGGCAACCCGCTCCAGTATTCTTACCCGGAGAATCCTATGGACAGAGGAGCAGTCCATAGGGTCATAGAGAGTCGGATACAACTGAAGTGACTTAGCTCACAAGCAGTAAAATAGATACCAATTAATCAATCTGTGAGTAGTTGACCAGTGGTTGGGGAGGGAGTGGCTGTTGGAGACACTAAGAGTCAGTTTCGAAACTTGGATGGACTCCTGATTTTAGCTGCCAGACTAGCATGTCTGAACAGGTCAAGCCCTGAAAAATCTCTGTCCCCTTCCAAAACCTGACATTAAGCACAGCTTACCTTCTCTTTACATAGTGGCACAGATCAGAGCCCGTGACTCATTACTGACCACGTTATAATATTCTGCTTCCACGCTTCACAACTTGATTCTGAAATAAGGAATGTTACCTGTTTTAAATCCCCCTTTAAATTCTTCTGTCTGATAAATCTGAGAATTTTATTGACTTCACAGGAGCAGAAGTAACCACCCAGAGGAGACATCAGGTGTCACTCTTTTTTTGGAAGAAGAAATAAAGAATATTGTGTTTTCATTTCTCTTTGTTATTTAGTGCACAGATTGCTTCATGTACATCACAATTTTTGACATCCTTTTTCTTTTAATTTAGCATATATATTCAAAACAGTTTCAGTTATTTATAAATCATAGAGCATGGAGTCTATTTATTTAGATTTTAGTGTAAGATCCCATAGATAGAGTGGGCCCAGATGAGGCTCCTCTTTGTCATTCATTTAACTCAGTACTACAGAGGGATACTGGAAATGAAGATCTTTCCAGTGATGTGATGGTGATTTAATGTTTCCAAGCTATGGAATTAACCATTTATTTATTCAGGTGATTAAACTTGGGGCTCAGAAACACTGTGCTTTAAATCACTGTGTACTTTGGGAAATGCTTTTCAAGATCCTAAAAAAATAGTAAGCTGGGTTTCAAACAATTGTTTCTAAAAATCAGTTTATTTAAGGGTGTACTGTTAAGTATGTGTGTCAGTGTTTATTTCCTGTTTTTTGCATTATTTTCCTCCTAAATTTAGAAACTTGGAGGCTCAGACCCTGGCTTAATGTGCCCTTCGCTTACTGCTGAGCTGCAGGCAGTAATCAGAGAGGGCGGCTCATGTACAGTCATCGACCAGCCCATTCCACTAGACAGACTGGTTGTCAGAGGTCTCGATCCCCTCCACGTGTCAGGTATGTGTCTTATTTCCATCATTCAGCTCAACTCTTTGCCATCCCAGAGTGTTATGTTGGCCTTTTTTGATAGCAGGACATGAATCCAATTTAAATCTTCGACAAAGATAATACTGAGTTTCTATGTAGTTAAATATCACACATTCTACAGGCTAGTTATGGAAAGAGTACTGGACTTGCTTCCAACACTTGGATGACCCAGCTCTGTCCCTTGCTAACAGTGTGACTGTGTGCAAGGTATTGGGTTGGCCAAAAAGTTCATTCTGCCTTTTCTGTAAGATCTTACGGAAAAACCTAACTAAAACTTATGGGCCAATTCAATATGTAAATTTTCTAAGCCACAGTTGTTCAGTTGCTAAGTCATAATCCAGCTCTTTGCAACTCCATGGATGCAGCATGCCAGGGTTCCCTATCCTTCACTACTTCCTGGATTTTGCTCAAACTCTTGTCCATTGAGTTGGTGATGCCATCCAACCATCTCATCCTCTGTCATCCCCTTCTCCTCCTGCCCTCAGTCTTTCCAGCATCAGGGTCTTTTCCAGTGAGTCAGCTCTTTGCATCAGGTGGCCAAAGTATGGAGCTTCAACATCAGTCCTTCCAATGAATATTCAGGGTTGATTTCCTTTAGGATTGACTGGTTTGATCTCCCTGCTGTTCAAGGGACTCTCAAGAGTATTCTCTAGCACTCCAGTCCTACAAATCAAAATTCTTTGGCACTCAGCTTTTCTTATGATCTAACTCTCACATCCGTATATGACTACTGGAAAAACCATAGCTTCGACTGTATGGCCCTTTGTCGGCAAAGTGATGTTTCTGCTTTTTAATACACTGTCTAGGTTTGTCATAGTTTTCCTTCCAAGGAGCAAGTGTTTTAATTTCATGGTTGCAGTCACCAATCCACACTGATTTCTGAGCCCAAGAAAATAAAATCTGTCACTGTTTCCACTTTTTGCCCTTCTGTTTGCCATGCAGTGAGGGGACTGATGCTATGATCTTAGTTTTTGAATATTGAGTTTTAAGCCAGCTTTTTCATTCTCCCCTTTCATCCTCATCAAGAGGCTTTTTAGTTCCTCTTCACTTTCTGCCATTAGAGTGGTTGTCATTTGACTATCTGAGGTTGCTGATGCTTCTCCTGGCAATCTTGATTCCAGCTTGCGATTCATCCACCCTGGCATTTTGCATGATGCACTCTGCATATACATTAAAAAACAGGGTGATAGCATACAGCCTTGTCATATTCCTTTTTTAAGTGTGAACCAGTCAGTTATCCCATGTCCAGTTCTGTCGTTTCTTGACCTTCATACAGCTTTCTCAGGGGAGAGGTAAGGCAGTCTGGTATTCCCATCTCTTATAGAATTTTCCGGTTTGTTGTGGTCCACACAGTCAAGGGCTTTAGCATAGTCAATGAAGCAGAAGTAGATGTTTTTCTGGAATTGCCTTGCTTTCTCTATGATCCAATAAATATTGGCAATTTGATCTCTAGTTCCTCTACCTTTTCTAAACCCAGCTTGTACACCTAGAAGTTTCTTAGTTCACATACTGCTGCAGCCTAGTTTGAAGGATTTTGAGCATAACTCTGCTAGTGTGTGCAATGAGGGCAATTGTATGGTAGTTTGAACATTCTTTGGCATTGCCCTTCTTTGGCATTGGAATGAAAACTGACCTTTTCCAGTCCTGCGGCCACTGCTGAGTTTTCCAAATTTGCTGTCATATTGAGTACAACACTTTAACAGCATCATCTTTTAGGATTTTTAATAGCTCAGCTGGAATTCCATCACTTCCACTAGCTTTGTTCATAATTCATCTTGATAAAATCAAGATAATATCTTCCCCAGTTGGTTCTCATGAGAATTAAATAATGCAGGTAAAGCAGTCAATAAATGATGGCTATTATTAGGTCTGTTAATCATTTTAGTACCAATGTTAAAGCACTGGTAAACCAAGACATGCTAGGAAAGCCTAAGATATTTTACTGCAATTGCTCTATAGAAAATTGCCAGAAATAAACATAGAAATATGTATACATACATACACATGTGTATAGATCAGAAATATATATTTTTGTTTTTCAAGCATTTCCTGAGAACCAGGCACTCTCTACGTGCCTCGGAGTCACAAAGATGGAGTCCTCAGAACAATGAAAAATCAATACATCCTTTCAGGAAAGCCCTGGGTCTCTGAGGGACTTGAAGGAGATCTTAGCTGACTTAGTACTGGGTGGGAGGGCAGCAGTGTTTGAAAGGAATTAGGCCTCTTTCTGCCTTGGGTACAGGCTCATAGGAGACCAGCAAAGACAGTAGGAGGGGAGTGCCTTCCTGCACAGAGGAGGAGAGGACAGGGAGGACAGTCCAAGCCCTGCAGTACCCAGCGCAGCAGCCCTGGGCTGGTTGGTCCCTAGTCAGTAGCAGGGGACCAGCCTATACATAGCACAGCAACATTGCACCATGAATACACCACAGTTTACAGCAGTATGTTATGTAACTAGGTTTTATATTTGAATGTTTAAATCCTCAATGTATCCAAACTCTCCCCAAGAGCAGCAGGGCTCCAGTGGGGTGGGAGGAACCTGCATCCAGAACTAGAGCCTTCTGCTTCCCTTGTCTGTTCTACTTAGAAGAAATAGAAGCTTTGCTGAAAAACAGCTAGACAGGCCTTAAGGCCTCTTAGATCAGAGGCCAAAATCTGCATAAATTACAGAGCTTTCCTGAGCAAGCTTAGAAAGGGGCATCTCAGAGGGACACAGCCTTCTTACTAGAGTGGCCATAGTTAGAAGATTCTGCCAGGATTTATGGATGTGAGCCAAGGAAGGCGTGTGATCCCCCAGCAGGAGAGGGAAGCAGCTTGGGCTCAGGTCAGCCACAGCCCCGCCAGACAGCTGGAATCTATGGGAAACCTGACATCCTAGGATTCCCTTGGAAGAGGCATGTTTTTTCTTTTGTATTCCTTTTTTTTCTTTCTTTAATAAAATCAGTACCTTTTTAAAACCATACTTCCACCATGTTTTGTTACTTTTTAATTTGCTACGACCATTTCATTTTTGTTTTTAAATTATTTTAAATTTTTTAATTATTTAAATTATTTTAACTGTTCAGATACAGTGCCTGAGTCAGAATAGCTGTAGGGTGAAACAGAATAAAGTCTGAAAAAAAGGGATTGTGTTTGAAGTGACAGAAACCTAGTTTCACATCCTGGCTGTATCATTCACAAGCTGTGTGACCTTAGAAAAATACACCTAATCTGTGTCCTCATTTGGAATTAGTTGACTTTTTTTAAAAAATTGAAGTATAGTGGATTTACAGTGTTCCAAGTATGCAGTGTTCCATTTTATACACACACGCACACACACTTTTTTTTTCAGATTCTTTTCCATTGTAGGTTATTACAAGGTACTGAAGAATTTAATTCCCTGTGCTATGTAGTAGGTCCTTGTTCATCTATCTTTTTATCTCTCTTTGGCTGTGCTGGGTCTTTATTGTTGCCTGGGCTTTTCTGTGGTTGCGGCAGGTGAGGGCCACTCTCTAATTGCAGTGTGCAGGCTTCTCACTGCAGTGGCTCCTGTTGCAGAGCACAGGCTCTAGGGCAGCCGGCTTCAGTCGGTTGCAGCACGTGGGCTCTGTAGCTGCAGCTCCTGGGCTCTTGGGCACAGGCTCAGTAGTGGCGCTCAGGCTTAGGTGCCCCACTGCATGTGTGGTCTTCCTGGATCGGGGATCGAACCCATGTCTACTGCATTGGCCGGTGGATTCTTTACCACTGGGCCACCAGGGAAGGCCTCTTTATCTGTTTCACATGTTGATACAGTGGGGCTTCCCAGGTACAATGGTGAAGAACTCACCTGTCAATGCAGGAGACACAAGAGACGCAGGTTCAATCCCTGGGTCGGAAAGATTCCCTGGAGGAGGAAATGACAACCCACTCCAGTATTCTTGCCAGGAAAATTCCATGGACAGAGGAGCCTGGCAGGCTACAGTTCATGGGATTGCAGAGTCCGACACGATGTTGATACAGTAGTGTGTATCTGTTAATCTCAGATTCCTAATATATCCCTCCCTTACCTTTCCCCTTTGATAATTACGAATTTTTTTTCTGAGTCTGTTTTGTAAATAAGCTCATTTGTATCCCTTTTTTAGATTCCATAAGAAATACTGTATTTGTCTTTCTGTTAAGATGTCACTTTACATATCTCTAGGTCCATCCATGTTGCTGTAAATGGCACTGTTCTTTTTCATGACTGAGTAATATTCGTGTGTGTGTGTGTGTGTGTGTGTGTGTGTTTATGTGTATCTGTTGATGGACATTTAGGATGTTTCAATGTCTTGGCTACTATAGTGCTGCTATGAACATTGGGGTGTATGTATCATTTCAGTTTTTGTCTTTTCCAGATATATACCCAGAAGTAGGATTTCTGGGTCATCTGGTAATTTTTAGTTTTTTATAGGACCTCCATACTGTTTTCCATAGTGGACGCAGCAGTTTACATTCCCATCAATAGAGTAGGGGGAATTCCCATTTCTCTACACCCTCTCCAGCATTTATTATTTGTAGACTTTTTAATGATGGGACATTCTGCCCTGTGTGCAGTGGCACCTCATTGTAGTTACAATCTGCATTTCTCTAATAATTAGTGATGTTGAGCATCCTGTCTTGTGCCTGTTGGCCATCTGTATGTCTCCTTTGGAGAAATTCCTGTTTAGGTCTTTTGCCTATTTCTTACTAGGCTATTTGCTTTTTTGATACTGAGTTGTATAAGTTGTTTATTTTGGAAATTAATCCCTTGTTAGCTGCATCATTTGCAAATATTTCCTCCTCTTCTGTAGGTTGTCTTTTTATGGTTTCCTTTGCTCTGCAAAAGCTTTTAAATTTAATTAGGTCCCATTTGATTTATTTTTGCTTTTGTTCCCATTACTCTAGGAAATGAATCCAAATAAATATTGCTATTTTTGTCAAAGAGTATCCCACTTATCTTTTCCTCTAGGAGTTTTATAGTATCCAGTCTTACTTTTAAGTCTTTAATCCATTTTGAGGTGTTTTTTTTTTCTTTTTTTTGGTGTGTATATGGTGTTAGGTAGTGGTCTAATTTCATTCTTTTACACATTGCTGTCCAGTTTCCCCAGCTCATTTTTTTTGAGAGATTGTCTTTCTCCATTATATATTTTTGCCTTTTTTGCTGTAGATTAATTGACCATAGGTACATGGGTTTATTTCTGAGCTTCCTGTCCTTTCATTGATCTGTGTGTTTGTTTTTGTGCTGGTACCATACATACTCTTTCGGTCACCGCAGTATAGTCTGGGCTCGGGGAGCATTGATTCCTCCAGCACCAAGGTGGTTCTTTCTCAAGATTGTTTTGGTGATTTGGGCTAAGTTTTCCTATCTTATAAAGTCTATGTGTGGTTTAAATGACAATAAGGAAAAAATACATAGCACTGTGCCTAGTGATAGTAAGTGCTTAATAAATGATGTGAACTATTGTTAATTATTAGAACATCAGGGAGAAAAGAGCTACTCCTTTTTTAATTTTTTTATCACCTTATTTTATCTTCTAAGCCTCACCACACAAGATACTTTTGCTTATGAAGTCTTTAGTAGTTATACTACAAACCAAATAGATGAGGGATACCTTAAATAACTGAGAACTACAGATACAATTATGAGGAAAATGGATTCTGAAATCCAGCCAAGAACAACCACCTGATCTTTAAAGCCTCACTTGCTGCAGGGAATTTATAAGGAGAAAAATCAGGAAGTTAAACAAACACAGCCAGATCTTTTTTCCAGAAAGTCATTTTAATAGGTTTAAGTTCTCTCACCCCAGAAAAGTTGGACAGAATTTCATGACCTTGTCAGGCTTTGTTGTGGTAGAATTTAGGAATTATGAGGAATGGACTGTTAACAGTTTGTAAGAGTTAAGTAGTTCACAGTTAAGAAAATAAAAGTCTCATATTTGCTTCAATTCTGAAGTGAGGCTCAACTTGCCTCAGTGAGTATAAATTAAACCCACGAACTTCAAGGAATAGGAATAATGACTGTGAACAAGCATCAGCTTAATGATCAGCCAGGAAGAGGCACCCTGTCCTTCTCTCTGTAGTACTTGGTATGACCTGGTTTGGCTTTGTTCCTAGACATAAATTGACCATAGAAAGAATATATAGACTGCAGAACTTTATCCCTAGTATTGTATAAATAATTCAAGGACAAACTTTCATTTTAAGAGCTCCAGCTGTATTAATAAAAAGAAAGGAAAATCTGCTTTCCCAGGAAAATCTCCTGTTGTTTCTTTAAGAAATGCTAGGAAACGACAGAACAGACCATTTCTTTTCAAACACAGAAACCATGCCAATGTTTTTTGTTTTTGTTTTACATTTCACATAATTTGGTGGATGTTGGATTTTATTTGAGTCCATTTTTTTTGGGGGGGGTGCTTTTCTTAGATTGCTGTGAAGCATTCAGGTGGTTTTTGTATGTTTGCCACATGTTAATTTGTTTAACCCTTGTCTTGATGTTTAACTTGCCTTTAAGTACAAAAAAAGGAATGGGGGGNTGATGGGGGGGCGGGGGGGGAGTCAAAGAAATTGATTATTTTTCCTATTAGTATTTTATTTTACACAAAGTCTATCTAATACACTAAATTTCTTCCTTGGGGAGGAACACATTTTCCATCACTTAAGCCACAAATGTATTTCATCAAGTCCCGGAAATTGTTTGGCTAGGGAAGAAAAGGTCTGCATAGTTAAGTGGGCACTCTCATAGACATAGGACAGAAAACTCCCACACATTAATAAACAAACAAAAATCCAGGTTCTTAAGCTCAGAAACTATGGATTTCATATTGAATGCTTTGTTGTCTTGTCCTTAATCTTTTTCTAGTCTTTGGGCTGAGAAATGCTTTCCTCATACAACATGAAAACAGATATCGACAATGTATAGCAGCATTCTTATTACAAGCCCAAACGGAAAATATCAAGGTAGGTATTTCAGGTTTGTAGGTTTTGATGCTTCAGACCTAAGAGGGAAAAAAATCTCACTCCAAACTCATTAAGGAACAGTGAAAGGAAAGTTTTGTCAAGTTTGGGAGGACAGGAAGGATATGAGTATCTAATAACCACATCAGGCTCAGAAACCTCAGCACTGACCATTTTCTTATATCCCCAGTGTTGACCCAGCCTCCCTTGTTTCTCCTGCAGCAGCAGCTTAAGAGCTGCCTCTGACTTCTGGGAGGTCTATAGGAAATGAGGGTAAAACTGCTTTGGATTGCATGCTTTTAAGATGTTCTAATCAATTTCAAAGCCCCGTATGCAAACAGTATGATGCCAGCTTAAGTGAGGGGCTTCTGCAGTAATGAACCACCAAGTCTTCTCTTCACTCTTTGAAAATAGGCCCGAGTTTTTACAGCTATGGAGCTGAAGAGCGGCTGCCTATCTGACTCTGGTGTCTCTATCTTAGACGTTTCCATTTTCGTCTTTCCCTGGTAGGCTTTCATCAGGACAGCAGTGTGGCCAATTAATGGAAGCCTGCATTATTTTCAGGGACTCGATTTCTTCCCTCAGCCTACTTCTCAAGTTATGCCAGCTGATTAAGAACTTCTATTTCCACACAAAGTGGATATAAGAAATTCAACTTTCAAACTACTTACATTCCCAATACTCACCTTTGTAATTGGTCATCCTTAACTATTATGGTTTCTTGATTACTCACAACTGTTTATCCAGAATACCATACTCATCTAATCCATTTGCATTCATGTGATTGGAGGTATTTATGATACATTTTATTTAAGACAGAAAATGGGAGACAGGCAAATGTTTCATCGGTCTTCGGTTTTAAAGAGCAAGTCAACAAATACAAAGGAAAATATTAATCCAAATATGTGAGAAATTGTCAGTTTAACATTCTCTTCTCACTATATTTTTTCTTTAACAGAGAACATGGATAGCACAAATAACGGCAGCAATCTCTTGCTTCACCAAGAGTCAAGAAACCAAGAAAATGTCCTCATTCACTTTGCCTGCAGAATCCTCGAAGATTTAGGGACCTAAATCAAGTGGCACACCTTTTAGACATTAGGGACTAAGGTATTCTTTCATTCAAACTTGCAGCACTTAACCTAGGGATGACCTAGAATAAGCATTTTAAAGAAGTTTCAGAATTTGAGCTAGGTACTCCTCAGGGTAGAGTAATAATGACTTCAACAAATTTGAACCCTGAGGAATTTCTTGTTACATATACACAGGTTGATATCCCAGAGTATCTCATAATGCTTCAGGCAGGCTTGAAAAGGGGGTGAGGGAAGTATGCGGCTATTACCATTTGTAATGGATAATCAGGTGGATGCAGTGTCAGGTGGAAAACAGTGCCCACTGCTTGGGTCTGATATGAATTCTAGCATCTGATTCTGTCTATCTGTAATGAAACCAAGTCTCCTACCTGGTTTGTAAGTCAGTTTTACTGCTCTACAATCCTACCTCATACAAAGTTGGATTGCCCTTTTAACATACTAAGCAATGAATAATAATGTCTTCATCTTAGTAGAGGTTTTTAAATTTCTAGTCTCCAACAGTTTACTTATCTCAGGTATACTTTATAATACTCTTAACTTGGAGAAAATCCCAAAAGACTAAATTCCATTGTTTTGAGAAAAAAGCAATTATCTATTCTAATTTTACTAGTTAAGTTTTACTTGGGAGGTTTCATAGAAATAGTAGCATATCTTTCTCTAAATCTCACTTTTTGAATAATGCAGTTTTTCATAAAACTTTCTGGTTTTGAATGTGTGTGTGAGTTAGCACAATACCGTCACTGCATCTTATTTGGCAGGACTTAAAACATCATTAGAATTCTTACCAAGAAAAGCAGGTTGAATTACTATCATGATAGAATATACTATTAACTGCAGGCAAGGAATTAGTTTGTATTCTCAGAATGAAATTTGTGATTTTCATTTTAGACAACTTCAGACATGGTACCTTCTGCAGTTTCCAAAATGGAAGTAGTATATTTATCAACTCGGACAGCAAGACAAATGATACTTAAACTGATCTCCTTAAGCTGGAGAATGGGATAGAGAGGATAACGCTTGGGGAGGTCATGTGAACACTAATTCTTGGAGAAGAAGGCATGTTTCACCATGTAAACCAGGCAGTGCAGACAAGTGCAACGTAACAGCACTTTTAAAGGGCCAAGCACTATTAGAAGGGAGGGTCACCGCCTCTGTGTAATAAAGTCGCATTTATTAGGAGTAAGTGAAAATGAAAGGAAAACCAGTAACTACTGTCAGTGCCTAAGAAAGAAAAAAGGCAAAGGTACAGGAGAACAAATTTTAAGTTCTTAGAGATGAAAACTAATTTATGTATTTTTTAGAAAAAAATCATCTTGCAGGGATTTCTAGAGATCAGCCAACCTAGGAAAAGAGCAGTGGACTAGGACTAGGTGATCTCTCAAGATTCCTTTTAGTTCCATGAGGCCAGTAAACACGTATGTATCAAAACTGATTTCTCCCTTAAATCTCATCAAAGGGAGAAAAAAAAGATTGACTAAATTAACATGTAAATTTAATCATTTAAGATGTAAAACAGCTTTAGAATATGCTATATACAAAGAAATCTTAGCACGTCTGTGTTCATTGCAGCACTATTCACAATAGCCAAGATGAGGAAAAAACCTTGATGAGTGGATAAACTGGTATGTACATACAATGGAATTCTATTCAGCCTTGAAAAAGAAGAAAATTCTGAAACAGGCAACAACATAGATGAAGCCTGAGGACATTATGCTAAGGGAAGTCAGTCAGTCACAGAAAGACAAATACTGCATGATTCCACTTATGTGAGATTTCTAAAATACTCAAGTTCATAGAATCAAAGAGTAGAATGATAGTTGCCAGGGGGTAGAGGGAAATGGAGAGTTACTAATCAATCACTGGGCATAAAGTTTCAGTTAAGCAATATGAGTGAGCTTGGGAGATCTGTTGTACGGTACACTTAAAAGAGGGTAGATGTAGATCTCATATTAACTGTTCTTACCACAATAAAATTTAAAAGAAGAATAATGCTATGTATTTGAAGTGGAATTCTATAAAGCTCACAAAAGAACACATCTAATAAGTGTTTGAGGATATATACATTCTCTTCAGAGGAAAACACATTAGAGTAAAATGAAAAAACTTCGGTTCCTGAGGGTGGGGGGACGGTAAAAAGCAACAGTACATTAAGCCATCAGAAAAGTAAGTGGTTACCTAGCTATTAAATTTAAATGTGCAATGAACAAGGGATTAATATTATTTAAGATTTTTTAGTTTTGCTAATTCTCTGCAATAATGGAGTGAAAAGGAGATGTCTGAAGCAAAATAGCACTAGTAATTTCTCTTGAAGTTATGAACCTAATTACTATTCTAAGTTGAACATTAAAGCACATCCACTGTCTATATCCAAGTGCAAAGTTCTAAGTCTATAAATAAGATATTAACCATTTTACACTTTTTAAATAATTTGACAAAATAATTTGGTCACAGAAATACTAGAAAGAAATGATTTTTAATGTCTTTAGCATTTTTTTTTTAAAAAGCAACAATTCAGTAAAGGATCCTTCCATTGTTCTTTATACAGATTTAAATGTTATGTAATTTATCAGTTACATTTATAATCAATAACCTTCCACTCACTGAGTTTAGAAATCACAGTATTTACTGAGCTAAACTCTCTCACAAATAAGGCACAACTACATGATCACAAATAGTAAACAATACAATGAATCCAAAATCTAAAGGAAAAAATATTCATGCAAAAGTATCTACAGAAGCTATGAATATGATCCAGTTCAGGAAGTACAGAATGTCATAGACATAACTGTGTCATGTTACAATAAATTCATTACTTCTACACAGAACCTAGCTATTTCCAATTTTATACAATTTTACATAAATTTAGTAAGTTTATACACAATATTCACATCTGCAACAATAACTGATTAAAATTCAGGCAAAGGGCAATTAAGACAATAATGTGTGGCACATTATATAACCACAGAATACCATTCATCAAGCTCATGTCTAGGAATACTAAATTAATGGCACATTTAAATCTTATGGATCAAATCATCCATGGTTTCATAGCCAAAGTGCATTTTAAAAAAAAAAGTCAAATAGGTCATGAATAATATCAAAATATATGATCATAATTTGCTCTCCACTTAAAAGCTAAACATCTTTATGCAAATGCAAGGTAAAAAAAAAGTGTCTTTAAAGTTCTCCAAACTATAAAATAATCATAATTTTCAACAGAGATGGGGAACTAACAAATTTGGCAGTTACTATTTAACATTACTGTGAGGAAGCTATTAAACTATCTAATTCAGCATTAAGAGGTAGTTGAACAAAATTATACACTGCGTTGAGGTTTTTGTGTTTGTTTCCCTCTTTTTTTTCTTCAAAATAAATCCTATAACAGCAGCTTTGTCTTCTATTAAAATTTCCATAGGTATAGTTTATTGTACACTAACCCAGCAAGACTTGATTATTAACTCACATTTCTGTGCTGGGGCTTAGAATTTACTAACGTGTGATGCCAATATGCTTTGCATTAAAGCTGGGACTCCGTATGTGCCAGCTCTAAATCACTGACAGAGTACTAGTAGACATCTAAAATGTAGAACCAGTAAGCACTAAGAGAATGACTTTTTAATTAAAAGAAAAAGAAAACCTTTTGTTTCTAAAACACCTTGTTGGTGAGACTAGTAGCTAAATTTTAGGTTTCACTTCTACTTAATATGTAGTCAAATTATTTGGGGCTTATAAAGTAAGATTAGCTAGACGAAAAGTAGAAAATACTCAAACACATATGTATTTGTTATGACTATGTGGGCAGGGGGGACAAGACAGGGAAAGGCCTTCAGTGCACCCAGTTAGGAGATGAAGTGAACAGATATTCTAATCCAGGAAATTTCATTATCATTAAAAAGAACTGTGCTGTGAATGTTATTCCAACATGCTTATTAATTATAAGTGTAGAATTAAGAGTATTTGAATTATAAGTATATGAAAATGCATAGTTTCTATTATCCAACTTATTTTTAATAAGGAACCATTGTATTTCTTCAACATTTATGCTCAAAGATGTATGTTATTTATCTGAGTCCAAGGACTCAGTCAGGGTCCTCGATAGCTACTGACAACAGTTTACTTAAATGGGTTTTTAAATTAACGAATATATGGCAATCTCTTTTAGTTTGTATACATATAGGAAGAATGTAACATGATAATTTCATTTCAGCATGATACTTGAAAGCACTTACTGTAAATGAATTATTAGGTCCCACCTTCCCCCATTACCGAATGACTGCACTGAGTGAACGCATAACTGTACATTTCTTCTCAGAGTAACACAGCAATATTAATGACTCTTCAGATGTTTTTCCAATTTTCCCATTAAGACTATGATAAACTTTAATTCCATTGTTTAGCATACAAATAAGCCAATTTTTAATTACCCTCAATTAGTCATTCTGTTTCAGTTCTGGTTTTAATATAGGGGTTCCTAAACACATTTGTTTTTGGTGATACTCTATTATCCAACTGTTATTTCAAGATAATTTCATAGCATTATTTTTGTGAAGTAAACAGATACACAGTTGATATGAAACCCCAAATTTAGAACCTTTAAAATCTAAGTCAAGTTCAAAACTTTAAAAAACTCTTCCCTGTTAGCTAAGTAGAAAATATAAAACAGGATATTTAACATCTCCTTGCCGATTTATATTTGTTTTCACAGATAAGTCTATAGCAATACCAGTTACTAGCTTTAAGATGCAAAATTACAACACAGTTACAGTGAAGCTGAGCTATACTTGAGAAGGTTAAAAAGAAGATCCATTAACAAAAGCAAATTCAGATTCCTGAAGATGCTGGAGAGACAAAATGAGGATATGAAATGAAAGCTAATCTCAGAAGACTTCCTACTTAAACACAGAATAGGACCATCACACAATTTATGTTACTCACCTTCCAACTGGGGGTGAGGAGGGTAAGTTTTGTAGGATTTGTAATTAAGAATATGTGGGAGTTTAAAAATGAGTTAGAAAGACAAAAAAGAAAAATTAACCCTAATCTTTAAATACAACCCGAGAATAGCCATAATACAGATAAAATATGGATAGTCATAAAATAAGCAAATTAATTTTTAAGAGATTGCCATAAAATCCACCCAAGAGAACTATATAGTTAACATAAAAACCATGTTTGAATTCATGGTTAATACATACTTAAACATAATCTGTATTTAGAACACTTGAGTAGTAAATTTGTAACAATGCAACTGAGCTATGGACCTATATATAAGAAAAAAAGAAAGCTTTATAGTTCTGTGCATGACTTTATAATGAGAATATTTAATATAATTGATGTGTTATTGTGCAATATATCTGATAGGGTAACATCACCCATATACATTTCCATACACTAAATTTGGGAGAAAGAAGCAGCTATGGAAGTGTATTCATACCATTTCTGAACAATGAAATTATATTTAAAAAAATACATTGCTATTTTCCATCCAAAATTTATTTACATTTCATTGGCTACTCCTAAACTTGGCATGAAAGCTGTTCCAGGGGTAAATGGAGAAAGATGAACTCAAGTCTCACAAAAATAGAAGAATTTTACTTGATAACATTCCAAAATATACGAATTCTAATTTGGTTTAGTATTGCAACCACTGTCCAAATCAAAGAGTAGTAGTCCAGGGCCTCTATTAAGTGCATTTATCAAAAATCTAATGTTACTGTAACATTACTTTGAAGTTGTGATAACCCATTATCCTTGTAAGTCATTGAAACATGCATCACAGACACGAACAGGCTTCTTGGAAGAAGGAGTTAAGGCATTTTTGGTTGAACACTCAGCACAGAAGATATTTCCACATTGTCTGCAGTGATGCTGTAAATGACAAAAATTAAACATTTTCAAGCATAAAAACTATACCAAAAGTATTATGAGACTATAAGAAGAAAGCAAACTTGCACTGTGAAAGTATATTAACTTTCAAGTGATTGATAATACTATTTAATAATATAAAATTTCAATATCAATTTAATCCCTTTAGTTAATTTGAATGCTTCCTATTTAATAATCAAATACTAAACATTAAATATGGAATTTATCTTGGAATTCTCAGAACCACCTTCAGAGGATTTTAATAAATGCCTTAATAAAGTACTTAATAAAGCACCTCTGTCAAGTGAAAAACTATTCCTATTTGCAAAATGTTCTGGGCATAATTTCTTCTATAGAATACATCACATAATGGCATTATTTAGAATTTCTTTTTATCTCTTTTTTCTCCTTTAA